GCGAGGCAAGTGCTTTAACCACTGAGCTACAGGACTCCTTGGAGGATAGCACACTGGATTTGAAGATTGTGGTATTAAGTCCCAGATCAGCATTAGGGCCCATAGATGAAGCTGACATTCCCCTGCAGTACTGTGGGAATGCTATATTTTTGGAGATGCCACCTTTTTGATGAGACATTAAGCCAAGCTGTTCAGGAGGATGTTAAAGATCCCATGAAATCGCTTCCGATACATTTCAATGAGATAAGTCATTATAAAATGCAAGTTCTGTTTTTCTATATATATATTATACACACACACACACCGTAGCTTGCAAATTGGCAGCCTTTTACAATTCTGTTGAAAAACAAACTTGCAATTCAAAATGCCTTATCGTGGCTAAACACGTCAAAGTTATTTGTGCGTCACTCCGGCTCAATGGCAGCACTCTCGCCTCCAGAAGGTTGTGGGTTCCAGCCTCACTTTGGGACTTGGAATCACATAGTCATAGGAACAGGAGTAAGCCATTCAGCCCTTCGAGCCTGTTCCGCCATTTAATTAGACCATGGCTGATCTATCTGGACCTCAACTAATCCTCTCAATTCCAATTTCCCACTTTCTTCCCACATCCCTTAATACCCTGACTTACCAAAAAGCAATCAACCTCCCTCTTGAAGGGGAGGATGGATCCAACATCCACTGCCTTTTGGGGGAAAGAATTCTAGATTTCTACCACCCTTTGAGTGAAAAAATGCTTCCTGATTTCACTCTTAAATGGCCTGGTTCTAATTTTAAGACTCTGTCCCCTTGTTTTGGATTCTCCCACTGGAGGAAATAGCTTCTCTGTTTCTATCCTATCAAATGCCTTTATCATCTTAAATACCTCAATCAAATCACCCCACAACCTCCTAATCTCAAGGGAATACAATCCAAGTTTACGCAGTCTTTCCTCGTAACTTAACCCTTTTAAGGTCTGTTAACATTCTGGTGAACCTGCGCTGCACCTCCTCCAGGACCAATCTATCTTTCCTGAGGTTGGTGCCCAAAACTGAACGCAGTCTCCAGATGGGATCTGACTAACGCTCTATACAGTTGAAGAAATATTTCTTCCTCTTTGTATTCCAGGCCCCTTGAGATAACGGACAACATTCCATTCACCTTTTTGATCACTTTTTGCACCTGGAAACTAGTTTTTAGTGATTTGTGGATATGGACACAAAAATCTCTTTGCTCCTCCACAGTTCTTAATTTCTCCCCATTAAGAAAATATTTTGCTTTATCTTTTTTCAGTCCATAGTAGATGACCTCACACTTCCCTACATTGAACTCCATCTGCCACAACTTTGCCCACTCACTTAATCTGTCTAAGTCCCTTTGTAACTTCCTACTCCCATCCTCACAATTTACTGAGCCTCTGAGCTTAGTGTCGTCTGCAAACCTGGATATAAAACTTTCTATTCCTTCATCCAAGTCATTTATATAGATGGCGAATAGCTGGGGTCCTAGTACAGACCCCTGGTGGACACCACTTGTCATGTCCCGCCAATCAGAGAACATTCCCTTTATCCCTACTCTGTTTCCTGCCTCCCAACCAATTACCAAGCCAATTCACAAGGTTACCTCTGACTCCATGCGCTTCCATTTTTACTAATAATCTTTTGTGCAGAACCTTATCAAATGCCTTCTGAAAGTCCATATAAACGACATCCAAAGACAATCTCTTATCCACCATTTTAGTGACCGCCTCAAAAAATTCAACTAGATTAGTCAGACACGACCTTCCCTTCACAAACCCTAAGCTGACTCTCTTTAACTAGCTCATACCGGTTCAAGTGTTCAGTCACTCTGTCCCTGATGATAGTCTAAGCTGACACTCCAATGCAATGCTAGGGGTGTTTTGCAATGTCAGAGGTGTTCCTCTTCAGATAAGATATTAAACCGAGGCCCCATCTGCCTGTTCAGGTGGACATTAAAGTTACCATTGTACTATTTAAACAATAAGGAAGTTTTTTCCAGTCTCCTGGCCAACAATGTCTCTGTAAAATTGGTCATTAACTTTATGGCTATTTGCAAGACATTGCTGTGTCAAAATTGACCACCACATTGGCCTACAGATACAGAATTTAACAGAAAACACTAACGTTTAACCAAAAACTCTGTAAAGCGCTTTGAGACATTTCAACGTGATAAGGCCTTGTATCAAATGCAAGGATTATTTATCAGATTGTAAATTGAAGAGTTAAAGAGAGAAGGAATAGAAGAAATGTTTTTGTGCAGAAGGTTATTAGAACATGGAAAGCTTCACCACAAGTGGATTCTGAGGCTGCAACATTTGAAGGAGAATTGGATAAACATTTGAAGGAACCTATACAAGGAATAAGGAATTGGGCTTGAAGTATTTAGTTCCAATGGAATGAACTGATGTGGGCTGAAGGGTTTCCGCCTAAACTGTAATTTTGATGGTTCAACTATACGTCGACAGTCAGTTTCCACAAACGGTTTTCGAAACAACGCAGCTAAAACCATCCTTTGTCATTGAGATGAGAAAATCATTAACAGTGGCATTACCAGATGTTCTTCCTAACCCTGCCATTGCTTGTTAACCCTGAACAAATGCTGAATATCTGGACTTGAAGCACCAAGACAAAGCTGACAGTCATCTCAAGAATGCTTATGTGCTCCAGGCATGTTGCATTCTGTCTGATGGTTTTCTTATCTTCGAGGATGAGGATGAGAATATCTGATTGATCTGTTTCAACATCAACCAAGCTGCCAGCACTGTTAAAAGCCAACGAGTTCACACAGCACACGTTGCTCCTAAACCCACTGAGGCACCTAACTAATGTTCACCTGTAGCAGTGAAACAAACCGCAAAAGAAATGTCCTGCAACAATTGGAACACTCCACTGCAGCAAAAATAGATTTGGTATTCAGTTTCCGATGGATGTAAATTGGTTGGCCATGATCTTGTACCAGATAAAGGGAAGACACTGGCATCCACATAGCACTGATTTCCCTTAAAACAAAATGCCCAAATATTATCAGTTATGACTTCTTATCAATAAGTAACAGATAAATAAACTACTTAAAAGATGACAAGGAGCTACTTCATTCATTGCTGCTTTATTTAATTAAATAATGTTGTAACACCAGTCTAAAATAATAATATGGGTGCACTTAATACTAAATCACCCACAATTTCTGCACAAAGTTAATCCCCAACGCTGTTTGAATCAGGAGTAAAATATTCAAAGTATAACTGGTAATAACCTGTCTTTACTGAATCAATTCATTATTCATTTCTTCACCATTATATTAATATGTTTAAGATGATTTGAAAGGAATTTTCAACCAAAGCTTCCCTTTACACTGTACAGTACTAAAGGAACCTAATCGATACCACAAGTGTATGAACGTGAACGAACTCATTAATTGATGGTAGCAGTGGACGTGTTTCACCTGCCATTATTTTAAGTGCTGAGGTGTCTAAACAAGAGTCTCTACACCAGCTAAAAGTCTGAACAACATCAAAGAAGTTTCAATGGTGCAATTCGTTGGTGTGTTGCAAGTCTTGCAAACTTTGTCCCTGTCGTTTTCAGATTCAATAAGTACAGATGTCATTCAGTCAAGTGTACATCATAAATCATACTTCAGGCAATGCAGCAGCAATAACCCAAACACAAGACACGTTATCAGACATTTCTAGATGTGCAGCTTTGAATTACTTTGTCTCCATTGTTATTTCATTACCCACACTAAGGGTGAAATATATATCAGTAAAAGTAATACATTCTAACAAAATAATACATCGACCTCAATCAGCAATTCAGAGATTGAATATGGCAACCTGTTAGTTTTATTGTGAGATGCTGATCACAGTTTTCTCATATTTTATATCAATGCTATCCGCTTGGTGCAGCGGGTAATAATCTGTGCTTACGACATCAAAAGAAAATTGCCATTGCAGTCACCGTATCAGTGGAACTCACCCATGTTCAATATTAGTGTTATATTAATAGAAACACGCTGTGATTTCCTATCTCTAAATTGAGTTATTCAGAGTAACTATGGTGGGGACAAAAGATGGATATAAACTGTGTGCATATACTGCATATTTAATTTTGTGACCAGCCAGAAAGACAGCTGAGGTGTTTTCTGATACATTTTCCCGCAAGTTTTGATGTTACTCTGTGACAAATCCTTGTCTAGGTTCAGAGGGATTGTTCCTGAAACATACATGCTGTTTGCTTTTGGTTTAATAACTAGAATCATGGAATTATACAGCACAGAAGGAGGCCATTCGGCTCATTGTGTCTGTGCCAGCTCTTTGAAAAGAGCTATCCAAATTCATCCCACTCCCCCGCTCTCTCTCCGCACAGCTCTGCAAACTTGTCCTAAATCAACTTGAACTAGATCATTCATTAATTGACCGTAATTGGATATTGCCGTGTTCCAGTGCGAAGAGGCAGAGGCACCAACTTTGTAGCTGTCAGATTGCTTTTCTAGCAATTGTGATTGATGACATGAATTGCCCATGCTCTTTCTATCAATCGCTAACTCTTTAATTCTTTCCCATTCCAACCGAGGGTGTCCAATGAGTAAAGAAACATATGCTCTTGAGGAAGCAAGCTAAGCTAGACTGAAAACAGTAATGTGGTTCTGAAGTTGCGGAGATTATTACAGACCACCATTGGCCAATTTGAGTTTCTAACTAAATTAATATAAGATTCTATTGGCAGACTTCTTCAAATCAGACTCAGAAAATATCAGTGCAAAACCTCCGTAGAACAAACCTCCCTTGCTGTGGTGGAATGAAGGAACTGAATCTCCAATTAAATCACAATCTCCATGCTCGTGAGATTACGAGATTAACACCAGTGTCATTTACTGTTTTACACTTTTTTAAAAAAAACACACACACAGAGGAATTTTAAAAGCACCAATGTATCTTTTGGCCGTTCCATCGAGCTCACTGAAATCAATTACTGTTCCACAAAAGTCTTTCCAATAACAGAACTTACCAAAGTTGTTCCGAGACCCTTTGAGCTGCATGTTTTCAGGTGGCACGTGGATTGCAACCTTCCCATCTCTTTCCACATGATTAGCAGTACACTGACCTTGTTGCTTCAGAACATCAGTCAGAGCCCTGAAAGAACAGAGATTTGTAAAATCTTAGGACCCGCTCACTTCCAAAGCCGCGCCATCAATAATGCATGTTGCAAGCAAACATTGATACTGCAGTTAGTTACACAGAATATGTGGCAATGCAGAAAATATTGAATGCATTAAAAAAAGTCACATTTAAATGTCAACCGATTAGATTGTGCCAATGAAAAAAAAAGCAAAATGGCAAACATGTTAGAGAATCTGAACTACAACAAAGCCTTGCTGTAAGTATCTCATTATTCCTCAAGTAAAATATTCCTATTGAGGGATGATAATAATCGTAATAATAGTAATAATAATCCTTCCATTTGTTATAATGCCATTTCACCTTGGGAAGACGTCTCAAAGTGCTCCACAGGATTTTACTGTAAAGGACAGTGAGTTTGTAGGCAAACATGTCAGCCAATTTGCACACAGCAATGTCCCACAAACAGCTAAGAAGTGAATGACCAACTTGATAACAATAATAATCCTTGCATTCGATATAGAGCCTTATCATGTCTTCGAGACGTCTCAAAGTGCTTCACTGAATACACTGTAAAGTGCAATGACTGTGTGTTGTGTGGGCGAAAGGGGCAGCCGATTGCACAAAGCAGTGTCCCACAAACAGTCGTGGATTGACTGACCAAATTATTATCATTTTATTTATTTGAAGGAATTATTATCCCCGGAAAAGCGATCTGCCAATCGGCTAACAATCGGGTTCCTACTTGCTGCAAGGTAAACAGGCGTGTGGAGTAAAGAAACTTGCCCAACGTTTCACCCTGCCTGGAATCACACCCTGGAATCACGCTTACGAGGCGAGTGCTCTAACCACTAAGCTACAGGACTCCATGTACTTGATCTGGGGGATTGTTGGTCAGGATACTGAGAGAAATTGCCTTCTCTTTTTGAGTAATGCCATGTGATCTTGAACGTACTCCTGAACAGGCGGACTGGAGCTCGGTTTAATGCCTCAACCGAAGGACGGCACTTCCAACAATGCTTTACTTCACCATCACTGTATTAGCCTGGACTGTGAATTCACAGTCCTGACGTGGTGGGTGGGAGATGTCACACAATTAAGTCAATTAATGCAAAATTTAACAAATTAGAACCTTCAAAATATTCTTGCAAATCGGTACTCTCACAGATTAAAAACAATCAAAAGGCATTGCGCGAAAGCACTAAACAGAGCAAAACATTTATCTAGGTGGAACACACGCTAGCTCACAGCTTGTGAGTGCTCACTGACACAATTCGTCAGGAATCTGCACTTCGCTGTCGGGGAAGATGATGTCAAAACTGATAATTGTATTTGATCTGAGTTATTAGACAATGTTGTTGGAAACGGATATGAGATCAGTAGTGGCAGATGTCAGCTGGGTGTAAATACTATTCATGGCAGAACCACTGGGACGTTACAACACTAAACAACACTGACTATGGCATCATTGCTAATGATGAATTATCACAGCAAAAGAAAATGATAGTAGTCAACTTTCGAAGAATGAACAATGCAGTCTGCAAATTGAATAGAAGGTTCTTTTTGTTGAAACTCTCAGCTATTCATTTGCAGCCCATGCTAGTTATTTAGCCGTTAAGGCTGCAAATCTATTGGTCTTTTCACAATCTTGTCATGCTCCTTAAAATAGGATCAGATACTTTCTCTAGTTTGACTGCATATTAATTACTCTACAATGCAGTTTATAATTAAAGATATATATTGAACCTAAAGGATCTACAGCTAAGAGACATTTAAAACGGATAACGGATAATTGGTTAGTCCATTTGATTAATCCATTTGATTAATACCCTGTCCTTTCAATGGTAGAGCTAACATTCAATCCAACCCAGAGGAATGGGATGAACACCTTCTCCCTCTGTGAGAGACTTGAGTGAAATAATTTTGGTCAAACTCAACTTAACTTTCAATGACCAGTTAACAAATCTGTTATTCAACTCTATATTGCCAATCTCACTCAACGCCACAGTATAGCTTTCATACAGAAGGCCATTTGATGTATTTGGAATTCTTTTCTGAAATTAAATGGAAGTGGTATTGGAGTTTATTTTCTGTTGTAACTCTCACTAATTCGGGGAATAATTTGGCGATAGCTGTGCAAATGTTACCGGAAAATTAGACCAGCTCACTCGAAGACTGACATGTCACAATGCCAGCACTCAAACCCTTAATTGGACCCCAATAGTTCTGTGTATTGATCTCAAATTCCAAGGGATTTCTCATGCCATGTACATGACATTAATCCTCGATAGGCAGTACTATATTCATCAACAGGTTGAGGGCAGCACTGGAGCCATAGGTGGACAGTTGCCACAACCAAGCCAATTTGGATTCTGGCAGACTGCACAATCAGGCACACTTGACACCATAGAGATCTATCTACTCACCAGTACCTTCAATTGCATCAACAAAAAGAGTACCCACCCTGCATGAATTCCAACAGATCCACTCTTTGGGCTCACATAGAGCTGTTTGATAATCCTTCTGAGGATGGGGAAGTACAAGGCGACCTTGATGCAATACTTTAGCATTGCTGGCCGAGGTCATTGGCTGCCTTTATTCCTTCCTCCCCTGTAGCTAGTGTTGATTCCATAGGGAATATCTCGCTCAGTGGCCATTCTTCGTGAACCTGGGTAGTGTGTTATTGGGCAGTGGGAGCCATCGCAAGCAAACCCAATCCACGTGTATGCGCAATTTCATGGTGGGAAGAAGCAGAAAACGATCTGGACCGAAACACTTTCACTAGCTCAAGAACACTGAAGCACTCCGAGCAGAGCCGAGTTAACTAGAACAAGCCGTCTATTTGGAATATGACCTTCGGAGAGTGTATGACTCGGTTGCCAAGCTAAACATTTCATGACAACTTTCATATAGTGTCCTTCATTTAGACAATATATCAGAGCACTTCTGTCAGATACTGAGGGGGTGGGGGGGAGCCAGAAAGCTAAAACTTAAGCAATGAATAGTTTCATTACTAATAGGGTCACTTTTATATCCCCCAAGTTAGTACATACACTCAGTCCTGTTGTATGCCCGGTGCTTTCATTTGCTAGTGCTTTGAAATCACACTGGAGGATGAGGTTTTAGCTTCAAGAAGGCTTTTGGGAGCCCTACTCCATTGATTCTTTCAGCTTGCGGTTTTGGGGAAATTTGATTATAATAATAATAATCCTTGCATTTGATGTCGCGCCCTGTGGAGTCCTGTATCTCAGTGGTTAGAGTGCTCACCTTGCAAGCGAGACACCTGGGTTCAATTCCAGGCAGAGGGCGAAACCTTGGGCAAGTTTCCTTACTCCACACACCTAATAATAATCCCTCCAAAACAAAACAGTAATAAATTTGTCATTTTCAATCCACGACTGTTTGTGGGACGCTGCTGTGCGCAATTGGCTGCCGCGTTTCGCCCACAAATATACAGTCAATTCACTTTACAGTCTATACTGTGAAGCGCTTTGAGATGTCGAGAAGACGTGAAAAGCACTATATCAAATGCAAGGATTATTATTATTATCATGTTGTTGAGACGTCTCAAAGCGTTTCACAGAATAGACTGGAAAGTGAATTGACTATATATTGTGGGCAAGATGCGGCAGCCAATTGCACACAACAATTTATATATATATATATTTATTATATATTGATATATATATATATACACACACATTGCGCTAAGTCCCAGGATCTCCTGGCTTGTTATTTATTTCTACACATGACATTTGTTCTTTGCTGTCAGATGTCTCGGACATTTGTAGAATGGCAAATTAAATGAAACAGGATTCGGACTGAAATCTGCTTGAAGATTTTACAAGGAAACGTCGTGGGGCCCCTGGTAAGAGGATGAAACTCGATACTCTGCTCTCTTGTTCCTTTGCATCTTACAGAAGGTAACAATAAACGTGTGAGAAACTGTAGCGCCTTCTAGCGACCCCACACTATAGTGTAACTCCTCTGAAGCCTTCATTAAACTGCAGCTATAACACCAGCAAGCAGTCTGGAGTGAAATTTACTAAAGCAAGCAGAGTTTTTAATATATATATATATATAAAATATATATATATAATTATGAAATGCAGTAGATGAGTCTTGCAACAGATAGTATGAACAGTCACATATTTTTTCTGAAACTAACATCATTTGTTTTGCAATACTGTTCAGAAGTTAGTCTATCATTGAGAGAGAGAGAGAGAGAGAAAGAGCTCAATCCAGCAAATGTGGACAGGAGGTTTTTAAAGGGCAGGTGTAGACTGGAATGAGAACCTGTGGAGGTTTTTTTCCTGCTTAAGGATAGCAGTCCTTTTGGAAAGGAAAATTAAAAAAAAACATAATGACTGGACCTGGCTGCCTTGCTGAGGATATTTTGATTTATAAATCACACAACACAAAACACACGCTTTGTGAACTGCTCCACAGTATTGCAGACATCATTGCAAATACAGTAAGAAATTCGACCTCCTCTCTGGTGCTCTGGTGTGTGCGGCGATGTACTGCACATTCTGCGCTATCCGCAGATTGCGAATGAATCGCTCGAGTGCATTTCCAATCAATCAATCAATCAATTTGAATCTCTTTTAATTTTGTGCATTACTGATCAAAAGAGGGGAGAAGGAAAAGGTCCCACCTGAGCAGATTTTCCCCCTGCAGTCAGGAGGGTTTTGAGAGAAGGTTTGCTGGAGCCCAGACACTGATGAATGTTAATGACAGACAGGGTCAGTTGGTGTTGCTTGTCCAAGTGGTCAGTGATGATGACCTTCCACTCCAGGACTAATTCAAGCCACATGGTTTTGGGGCAGATATCTGCTCGGACTCAGAGCAGTATACAGCATTGCAATTACCCCTTTGAAACCACATCTACATCTCTTCCTAATGCGAAGTCCACTTAGTCTATAATTTCGCTGCCTAAACATCTACAAATCCTTGATTTTATTTTGCAAAAAATGTTATTTTGGTTTTTTTTGGGGGGTGGGGTGGGCTTCGGGATTAATCTTTGCGACACAGAAACTAAAACCCAAGCAAAACACCTGTTTTTGTTGGGGAGGGGGGGAAGTTCAGGTTTAATATTGGGATTTATTGTGAATGTTGCAGAGGCTTCGAGGCTTTGCGCAAAACATAGAGGAGCCCTTTGAGTTGAGGAAATCCAGTAAATAAATAAAAAAATAACCTCTGGTTGCACAAGACTCTGATTTTTGAGCTCTCTTTCAAAAAAAAATTCCACGGGGTACAATGTAGGTGGAGATCAGTAGGATTAAAGTGAAGCAAGTCTGCGAACCATCACACACAGCAACAGGTGAGTTGGATGGTCTGTGAGCATTTATTTCCTAACACACTTTGGCCATTGATCGAAGTTTAAAAGGGTCTTTTTTTTTTCTTCTTTTCTGGACCGACACAAGTCAAGAGAAGCATTAGTTTCTAAAAACAAAATGCGAGTTTATTTTTTTTTAAATTGTGGCTCTTTTATTTAATTTTTTTTGTGTGGGTGGGGGGGGGGATGTGTGGAGCTTTAAATACAAAAACTCAGGGATACAAGTGCTGTATGTACGTCTATTGATTTCCAACCAGACACAGAAAATGGTGTAATATTGAAAGTTAACTGTTTAAAACTATGGTCAGATGGAGACGAAGCACGACTTTTAACTCTTTATGTGAAGGCTGGTTGCCTGATGTATACTGAGCAGCTGTCAGTAGTTTATAAGCAGAGAGGGAGGGAGGGAGGGGTTAAAGAAATATCACCATCACGAGTTAATTGCTCAGTGTCTTTGCTGTGGTGATTTTGCCCTCTCTGTTTACACCCCACACCCCCCCACACCCCCCATTCTGGGGTCTTCACCTGAATGCAACGCCTTCCTTATTTCTTGCTATTCCAGCCTTGGGGGAGTTAATTAACCGTTCACCTGCCAGTGATTAAAATCAGATGGAGAGAGAGAGAGAGGGAGGGGGGGAGAGAGGGAGGGGGGAGGGGGCAAACCAGATAATCACATCAATAACTAATAACAATCCCATCTCGAAGCGGCTTCACACGGTGTAAAGTGAAGCGACTGTGCAATGATATGGACCAAAAACGTCCCATTATTTCTTCCAAAGACCAGAGGGGAGGGATGGAGTGAGTGAGTGAGTGAGTGAGTGGGGGAGGGAGGGATGGAGTGAGTGAGTGGAGAGGGAGGGATGGAGTGAGTGAGTGAGTGGGGAGGGAGGGATGGAGTGAGTGAGTGAGTGGGGAGGGAGGGATGGAGTGAGTGAGTGAGTGGGGAGGGAGGGATGGAGTGAGTGAGTGGGGATGGAGTGAGTGAGTGGGGAGGGAGGGATGGAGTGAGTGAGTGAGTGGGGAGGGAGGGATGGAGTGAGTGAGTGAGTGGGGAGGGAGGGATGGAGTGAGTGAGTGAGTGAGTGGGGAGGGAGGGATGGAGTGAGTGGGGAGGGAGGGATGGAGTGAGTGAGTGGGGATGGAGTGAGTGAGTGGGGAGGGATGGAGTGAGTGAGTGAGTGTGAGAGGGAGGGATGGAGTGAGTGAGTGAGTGAGTGGGGAGGGAGGGATGGAGCGAATGAGTGAGTGGGGAGGGATGGAGTGAGTGAGTGAGTGAGTGAGTGGGGGAGAGTGAGTGAGGAGAGAGATCCAACAACAACAACAACAAAAAAAAAAGAGAGAGAGAGAGAGAGAGCGAGGTGGTGGGTCCATACCTGGAAACATTCAGCTCCCGTTGGGGTCTGTGCGACTTCTCCAGCCCCAGTTTGGTGAAGATACCCACCAGGACCATGATGGCCACCACCCCGCAGATGAAGTACACGATCAGGTTGGTTTTGTCGCGGGTGTGATCGAAAGTGGTGCCGTTGGGTCGGGGCGGGGGGTTGCCCACGTTGGCCCAGTTGGGGGTCCCGTAGTTGGAGCAGCCGCTTTGGTCCAGTTTGGCCTCTTTGAACTGACAGCAGTAGCGGTACCCGCAGGTCCCGCAGCAGTAGTTGTAGATACCGGTGTTGCAACTGAAAGGCGGATCGAACTGTCCCATCACGTCGTAGTAACCCCGACACTGATCGGCCACCGCCGGCGGGTCCGGGGTGCCCTGGTCCTTGGAGGAGTTGAGGCCGGAGACCACCAGGATGCTCCCCAGCTGCTGTCCCGGCTTCAGCTTCCCCTGAGCCATGCAGTCCAGGATCGGGCACCAACCCAACAGGTGCACCAGAAGGTAACACACCACTGGATGCGGACTCGGCATCGTCCAGACGCCCCAACTTTCGATCCGGTTTTGCTTTGGAATAACGATAGATCACAGCAGTCGAGTCTCTATCTCTCTCTATCTCTCTCTCTCTCTATCTCTCTCTATCTCTCTCTCTATCTCTCTCTATCTCTATCTCTATCTCTATCTCTCTCTATCTCTCTCTCTCTCTATCTCTATCTCTCTCTCTCTCTCTATCTCTATCTCTATCTCTCTCTATCTCTATCTCTATCTCTCTCTCAGAGTCCAGACATTCAACAAAGCAAAAAAATCCAAACCTCTCAACACTTTACTTCATCGTCAGCTGTAGACAGACACACACAGTGGCGATGGAAGGTGTCCCCCGCACTCGGACTACGGTGTGTGTTTATGTCCCGATCCGCACGTGGGGGACAGCGCTGGACCACAAAGCTCAGGGTCGGGGCTCTGGTGAAAGAGTCTTTCCTTTCTCAGAGAGGACTCTCCTCTGAGAACCGAAGCTCATCCCTCTCTCTCTCCCTCTCTCTCTCTCCCTCTCCCCCTCTCTCTCTCTCCCTCTCCCCCTCTCCCTCTCTCCCTCTCTCCCTCTCTCTCTCTCCCTCTCTCTCTGCTCACGCCAACACTATGCAACAACCGGGAAAGAAATACTGGAAAGAGAAAACTCATGTGTCTGTGTGTCTGTGTCTGTGTGTGTCTGTGTGTCTGTGTCTCTGTCTGTGTGTGTGTCTGTGTGTGTCTGTCTGTGTCTGTCTGTCTGTGTGTCTGTCTGTCTGTGTCTTCCTCCCGTCCTCACAGCCGCGGCTGCTGCTGATGGATGATGACCATGGAAGCAGCTCACAAAGCTGAAGCCAATCGCACACCCAACCAACAGGGCAGTCGGGCTCCAAGTGCGCTCCGAGATCTGCTGCAACACATTCCAACGTACAGACACCGGATCAGTGGGATTCAATGGATCGTGTCGTCTTAAAGTCACACACACACACACACACAGACACACACACACACACACGACCCTCCCCCCCCCCTCCCAGTTCCTAACGGTGGTGGTGGTGGTGTTTTTTTTGCAGACCGACGTGGATGGAGAAGCTCACAAAGCAACAGTAGAAACGCGAGAGGGTGTCACTGCTTTAACGCTCATCCACAACCCATGTACACCTGTCGCACGAATTGCATTGGACCCGAGTCTCAGTGCACTGAATGGACAGAGAGGCTTTTGCGCACACACTGTAACGCAAGGCGGGGGGTGGAGAGAGAGAGAGAGAGAGAGAGGGGGGGGGGGAGAGAGAGAGAGGGGGGGGGGGGAGAGAGAGAACACTGCGGCTTCAAGGCAACGCTGGATACAGCCACTGAGCTACTGGTACTGTGGTCCCCACTCTCCATCATCAGAGATGAGCGAATGAGAGCTCTTGGGGCAGCGAATTGGAAAGGTAACCAACGTGTTACGCGAGGACCAGTGCGGCGCCTGGATTTGGAGTTGCATCCAACGGGTCCTGTGGGTCAGGGGGATTGCCTGGGGAAATAATATACAGATATAGATATATATAGTTTTTGGAAAATATGCACCTGGTTTAAGATATTGCTCGTCGTTCAACAACAACAAAAATAAAGGAAACAAACCCCTTGTCTTTGATTGCCTTTGGTTTTGGTGGAAGTCACACAATCCTCGATCGACTCAAATTGAACTGCTTTCATCTGAAAGATTGAACCTAATACACTCAACACACACACACACACACATATATATAGATATATATATATATATATAAACACAAACCACCACCGATGGAGTTCAGGGGAGACAGTGCAGAGCCTCCCAGACAGCCTGAAAAATAAAGTTTGATATTCACGAGGTGCACTAAACAAAAAAGCATAATTTGAATGATTCCAAAAAGTCGCCACGTCTGTATTTGGCTGTTTTTTTTCCTTAAAAAAAAAAGACCCCCCACACACACATTTAATTGCTGCTCGTTTTAAGTTTTCATCGTGTGAATTGGATGGTCTGATCTGCTGCCATCGGTCAGTGATGGTGTGACCTTTTAGTGCTGATGCAAAGCCGATCTACACCTCCCCATTAATCCCATGACATTGATTCTATTGACTAGAGAGAGAGAGAGAGAGAGTGGGGGGGAGGGGGTGATGTTTGTGTTATCAAATGCATCTTTTAATTTCAAAGCTGTTGAAAGGACCACCGAATGGAATTGGTCATTGGCAGCGAAATTGTCAATCGGAAAGGAATCGGTGGCCACAGATTATTTGCAGACGACACACTTCGGAATTGCTGCTTCACACCCCCTCGTTGGCAGAATTAGCAGCTGGAGACTGATCAGACTGATGGGTCTCTCCCCCCTTCCCACCCCCTCCCCTTCCAGAGTGAGCAGACATTTCACAAGGCACTGTCCACCCCTGAACGCATCCAAATGGTTTACAAGGCTAATCGGTTGAGGGAGGGGGGGGGGGGGGTGGATGGATGCTGTGAGGTTTACCAGAACACGTTTACATATTTGCAGATAACTCATTCCACGAACCAAATAAAAATAGAGCAATCAAACACAACTCGGAAATAAAAGTCTCCACCTCATGCTGTAGTTTACCCATCGCACTCCCAACATCACAAGATCAGCAACAGGTTACTGGGAGAGTGTGTAGTCTCAGTTGAAAAGCTACGTGGACTTTTGAGTGCAACAAAGACCCCACGACATAATAAACTCCAAAGGATCCCTTTGGGAATGATGAACCCAGAGGTGACATTACCAACAATATCCTGAAACCCTTCAAAAACATTCAACTGAGGGACCGGTATAAAGGGATTGCAATGAGAACTTAAATGATCAGAATTGGTAAAGGGACTATTGCAGCTTTGAATCACATTGCACAACACACACACACACACACATACATATACACACATGCTGTGTCTCTCCTTTTATGATCCGAGGTGTTCTTCTTTCCTGAAACGTGTTACAAACGTGACTCCTCAGAATGTAACAGGGATTTAAGATATTTGGCTTCGGGTCACAACACAGTTGGGTGCCCAGGGAGTCTTGATAGGTTTCTGCACCGATTCTAGGTCATTGCTTCGGAAACCAGACTGCCTTGCGGCACGGAAAAGGTTAAGGTTAGCAATATTTTCATCAAGTCTGGACTTGATGAGATTTTGACAGCCATTTCAATCCTCTCTGCTCGGGCAATTGGGCCATGACAATTCACGAAAACAAGAAATTGCAGTCCATTAAACCCAATAAGGTCAGCCTCTACTCCTGGCCTCCCTGCCCTCCATCCCTCCTGCTCTTAACCCTCAGCTCTGGTCCAAATCCTTGACTGCCCAGTTCCTTGGGAAGTCCTCCCGACGTGAAAGGCACTATACAAATGTAATTTGTTGTGCTTGTTGTTGTTGAAAGGACTGTAGAAGCTTTCCAGCTTTATTCCAGTTCAGATGGAGATGCAAGAGGCATCAGTTTACAAAACAAAGTACTGTACTGATCTCAGAGGCTCAACTATATTTAACAGAGCTGAAACAAAACCTTTCACTAATGCGGCACTCCAATGTAGACAGATAATCATTGTACCTACAAATAACTGGTGGTGAATGTGGAAGCCGGATATTTGGTGGAAATGCAACTTTTGCAAAGGGACCATGACTCCCAGTTGTTAATATTAATAACCTTTGCATTTGAAATAGCACCTTATCACGTTGTTGAAAACGCCTCAAAGCTCTTCACAGGATATACAGTATTGTCAACTGGATTGACTGTATTTTCTGGGTGAAGCACGACAGCCAATTGTGCACAGCAATGTCCCACAAACATTGAGTGGATTGAGTGATCAAATTAGCATTTTTTTTGAAGGGATTATTAGCCCTGAAAAAGAGATCCGCCAATTGACTAACAACTGGGTTCCTACTTGATGCTAGGTAAACAGAGGTGTGTGGAGTAAGGAAACCTGCCTAAGGTTTTGCCCCGCCTGGGAATCAAACCTGGGCGCCTCTTGCATGCGAGGCGAGTGCTCTAAACAATATGCTGCAGGACTCCACATGTTGAATAGGATCCATGCCTGCCATTGCTCTGCTTTCATGGTTGATTCTCATCAGATTCTTGACCGTTATGAAGCTGGAGCTATTGCGATATTAATCATATTCATGTTCGGGTTAGATTTCTTGAAACACCACCTCAACAAGGGATGTAAAAGGTCATCAGCCAGAACCGCCCTTGAAAAAGTTATTTTAGGTGTTATTAAATAATAATGATCCTTACATTTGATATAGCGCCTTATCATGTCTTGGAAACATTTCAAAGGGCGTCACAGCATCTGACCAAAAGCTTAGTGTCTGTATATTTTGTAGAGGAAAATATCCAATTGTTTCATTGGCTTTAAAGTTAGAGAACAAAGTGTTTTTTTATCATGAATGACCATAATTTCTATATTTTAGAGATTTTCACATATTTAGAGACTGCTCCATGTTTTGTTTCCATGCATGTTGTCCTTAGCCAGGATTAATAATAATAATAATAATACTTGCAGTTGATATTACGCCTTATCACGTCTTCGAGACGTCTCGAAGCACTTCACGGAACACACTGTAAACTGAATTGAGTGCAAGTTAACCAGGATCTAGGTGTAAGAGGAGATCATGGGACAACTGCTTTGCTGAACAATGTTTGAGCCCCAGTCGTGTACCCACAACTCCTCCAGCAGATTCTCGGAGGCAGACAGTCGGTTTCACTTCTTCAGCCTCAAATAGTCACAGAAGTGATTTTCCAGCCAGCCCACATTATTCTCGTGTTGACCCAGCGATCACCATCAACAGCAGCACTCAATGAGAATGCTTTCCGACGGTGGTCATGAGATCAGAAAACTCACTTGAAAAAAGCAAGTTTTCATTGTCCCCATGATCACATTACAGAATAAGTCTCGACTATAAATCGTGCAATTCCGACAGGCAACCCAGCTGGTTGGAACTTTTGTTCACGACACAGTTATATTGATCTCACTTCTCTATTACAGTTCTATCCTGAGCAAAGAGCACCAGCACTGAGGTTGTGATCACAAAGGCACAGCTGCACTGGGCTGGCCGTGTTGTCAGGCCAGGAGAACAAAGCGCATTTCCCCTATCGCCAGTT